AGATTGTGTTGAGTGTGGGGACAAGGCGTCATTTAGCGCCATGAATATGGGTATTGATTTTAGTTTCAAATACGATATCCATCGTGATGCTTATGCGAACCAGGCTGTGTAATTAGGTAATGCCGTGCCATTAGCATTCTGCATTATGTTTATGCTGATAACGCAGCTGTACATATTGTGGCTAACACCAACAGATGAAACGCGCAGAACTGATATAAATAAAAATAACTGTGAGCTTCTGTTTTTGTCTGTGTGTAGATCACGCATAAACTTCTAGCTGCAGTCTAGGATTCGTATAGAACAGAACCGATCACAGTGGCCGCGCGGCCTAAGGCATGAACCGTCTTCGCGCGTTCAAACGCTGGGTTCGTGGGTTCGAATCCCACTCGAGGCATGAATGTTTGTGCATTTATTCTGTTTGTGTTCTGTGTGTAGGTAACGGCCTTGGGACGGGCTGATCCCCCGTTCAAAGAGTCCTACCGACTGTGTATAGATTAAGAAACAGAGAAGCGGCAAGGCCCAACAAAGGGCTGTAAAGCCATAATAATAATAATAATAATAATAATAATAATAATAATAATAATAATAGAAGAGCAATCGACGTTTTGTATTCAGAAATGCGGTAATGTACAGGTTGTGATTTTAGGACTGGCTTCTAGGTTGTGCGTGACGCTAAGGGAGCTGCATTGTCGGACGGAAGAGGACTAAAATATCGTTAACTATGGCCCTTTTGACAGCCCATACATAGCTTACGATCTATATCTCGGTTACTGGAAAATCAAGTAAAGTTATCCCTATGCGTAATTAAGTAAGCACTGTGTCATGAAGACATGAGGGAGTGGAGGTATAGCTCCACCTTTCTTGATCTTAGTACTAGATGGAGGTGAGTGGTTAGGTTCACGCCCATGCCGCTTTAACCCCAGGGAAAGAGCCCTCCTCCCTACCCCTTGGATAGGAATGAGGCTGGGTCGGCTCCAGAGTCGGTCTGGACGCTGTGGGGAAGAGAAAAATCTTGCATTGTCGGGAATCGAACCCAGCCCGTAGCCTTTCGCTGTAGTAAATTCATTGCGCATTTTGGTAAGAACGGTCTGGCCTAAAAATACGGACTGGTTTCCAGTTTATTCTAATCTGATTTAAATGTCCACGATCTGTGTAAAGGTGAGCGTGTATCATCTTTAGTTATGTGAGATTTGATACATTCATGGAGGTGAGTGTGATGATTACTGTTCGCTGGGATGTGACGCCATGTAAGATCCCATTGAAATTCAGCTGGGGATCATTTCTTTCGCGGGACTCGGACCCGAGAATGACTGTGCTAGCGACGACCAACAGCAGTTGTAAACGACAGACCCGTCCTCTCGTCACAGAGGGCACCCCACATAAAGAAACCCGCAGCTGTTCAAATAAAAATGTGGTTTTGGGCGCCAGATGTGTTTGACACAAAGACTGGCCGACTGACAGTCGGGCGTAACATGACTTTTGACTTTAACTTCTTTTGTCGAAGGAGAGAGGATAGCAGAAGTTTCGAAAGCTCCCAAGCGCGTAAGGCAGTTAAAATATGGGCATGAGTACCGTGTTACCCGGAACAAAGAATAACTGTGCTGGCGAGGGCCGGCAGAAATTTAATAGTCAGTCGAAGAGGAAACCCTGTTTTGAAACACGTTCAGGTCTAGGAGAGAACAAAAATCTTAGTCATGGATCTCGAGGAGACTGAAGCCAGGAATAATTGTACTGGCGAAGGCCAACAGCAATTTAACCGGCCGGCCGAGCGAAGAAAGAAGCCGTTGAACATGGAAGTTCAGGAATCTCCATAGTTGGAACCGTTACCAGACAACGGCTAGTGAAAACAGGATAATTGGCGTGTGCTGTAGTGAGAAGTAGAGTGCGCGTGTAGTTAAGGTTTGTAAGTGTTCAGTAAATCAATTACCAGTCCAAACCCCGTGTCTGGTCACTAACACGTGAAAATATTAAGATTCGCATTAGAATATAAGTGATAATGCAAAGAAGAAAATTTCGTACCTATGTTACTTTAATTTCCTTGAGCCCTCCACAGTTCAGAATGCGCTGGCTTATGCTCTTACGATTGATGAGAATCTCGAAGTAATAATAAGTATAAACGTCTTTTGTGAAGGCTGACTTTGGGCTGTGCGGACCGCTTGCTGTGTCCCATTGAACATTTTGTCCCCTTTAAGTCAATCTCACATCAATGTTCTGTGCCGCTACAAGGAGAAGCACGGGAAGAAACATTTTTAATTAAATTAGCAAGCAGAGACAATAGAGAGGCAGGCTTTTTGTATTAACTAGTCTCCAAGGAATCAAGCTGCAATCTTTCATTTTGTATATCTTTCTGCTCGGGAATTTTTAAGTTATGCGTTAAGTGTGAACTGTAGTCTCAGTTTCCAGGGGAACTCATAAGGGAAACAGTGGAAACGTCGTCTTCATATTAACAATTCGCCAAACATTCTGGTTTCTGTATTTAATTTCGTTATACTTGAGAATTATAAAATCCCGTTTAAATGCAACTGGGAGTCATTTCTTTCGTTTCTCTATTCTTCACCCGCTTTGGTTCTCTCCTTTTTCACATTCTCCATTCCTCCGTTAAAACATTGAATTAAATTGTATCTTTATCCGTCGACTGACACAGTTTCGAAAATGTAGCTGCTGTGTGTATAAGTACATGAACACTGCAACAACTTATACGCAGCGAGGTGATGCACTTAGTCGTAAAAAGTCTTTTACTATTTTGAATAGCATCCTGTTATTTTAGACTACGACGCGCCGTAGCCATGGTCACAATACATGCAAGTTGTCAAGTTCCGCCTCTATCGGCGTTCCCCGGAACTTGTTGCAACTGACGTGGAGCGTGCATTTCTCCTGTTCGAGAAACGTAAAAGGAGTTGGCTTGAGCGGGAACTCGAATCTCAGTTGAGTCACTGGCTGTCCTGACTGAAGATTTTAACGGTTTTCCTTATTCCTGTCTGCCAAATACCAGGATAGTACCTCAATTTATGCCACGTCCGATTTCTTCTGAATCCTTTCGCAATCATTATTCGCAATGTGGCCTTCAGTTAGGGCCGACAGTAGAAACAGTTTAAAGTCATCTGTCATATTAACTACGTTGCCAATTATCAAAGCTCTAATGTTTGCCTAAAGTCGAATCAAATAACAGGTTTTGAATGTGACCATCTACCATAAGCAGTTGTAAACAAATGGAATATGGGCCGATGTTTGCTCCTCAGATAACCTCCAACCTTTTGTCATGACAAATTAACATGTTCATCGTGATCGATTTCTGTACAGTCTCAACATTAGAGTTCCTTCTGTTTGGGCCATTATGTACAGATGAAGCGTATAACCGCTGTAAATTGCAAGGAGGAGCATTCTGTCGTCCTTTTTTTTTTTTGTCAACAAAGTTGGTGGGAGTGATGCAGAATAAAGGGGCGCATTGTGGTTTATTATATAACCAGCAGTCTTCAACACCCTGGTAGGTAGCTTCCCAACCCCCTAGGGCAGCCACTGGATACACTCCATCCTTGTTTGTAACAGGCTTGTTAGCTGAGTGCATTGGCATCATAGAAGAGCGAGACAAGAATTGAGTTCCGGGCCGAGCACTGGGAAGTTAATACGAGTTATGTTAATTTAATGACTTCCCGGGAGAGGGGACGCAACTACTCGCTGCTATTTTATTTTGTTCTTCGTGGTTCTGTGTGCGTGTAAACAGCCATGTACAGGAGATTCGTAAGCGCGCACTCCCCTAAGTATTGTGACATGAAAGCCAGAAGACAGCCTTTGCTAAGCAACGGATGGGTAAACACATTTCCGCAGCAACGAATCAACACGTAAAAATTGAGGAACTGTTGGAAACTGTGTTTCCTATGCGGTCCGTGCCGATATTATGTATAGCGAGGGCCATTTGGAAGAGTCGACAGGAATAAACATTTTGTTAAAAGTTTTTATGAAACAGACTGCATATGGGGCCGTAAAATCGTAAAACAATGAAAAGTCAAATGGCTCAAACTTGATATGAAACTAAATAAAATAAATAATCGATAGATTCCATGTGGAGACGGGGTCGAATACTTCCAGCTTAGCCCTGCGAGTCGCAGGAGGCGACGAAAAGGTAACCCAGTGTCTAGGGGTACAACAGGCCCACCCTGTTCTTGGAGGATATAAATGCGGGGACCTGGCCCTCCAGGTTAGGTGAGTCTCAAATCTGAGACAGTAAAATATGGTCATGAATCACGCGGGACTTGGACCTAAGAATGACTGCGCTGGCTAGGACCAGGGGCAGTTGTAAACGTCGGATCCGTCCTCTCGTCAGAGAGGATGTTACATAAAGACTTATCGTAAGCGTTCAGTTGGAAAAAAAATACTGGTCGTGTGTCTCAAGGGACTTCTCACCAAGACGAACTGATTTCAGGTAAACCGCCAGTCGTAAAATGACTCTGACTCTGAAAAGTCGACAGTCATGAGTCGGTTGTCAGATGGAATTCAGCCGGCAGTGACGTGATCACGGAAGCAGGGGAAGCCGGGAACCTAATAACGCGTAGTGAAGACAAGAAGGCCCTAATATCTGGAGTAGTGATTTGTACAGTTTGTAGATTAGTGAAAGTGTTACAATTATTTGTAATTGCGAGTTTTAAGTGTTCGTTAAATCCATTTATCAATCCAAACTCCCCGTCTGGTCACACGTGACATTCTTTACGAACTTTGGAGCAGTAATTCAGAGTCTCCGCCTTTTATGTAACCATAACGTTCATTTCCGTGTTTACAAGAGACCGCCACTGATCTCTGTCCGTAGCCAGATAAATCAAATTCACGTCCTATGCATTCTAATATTATCCTTCCTTCTGCGCGTAAGTTTCCGAAGTGGTTTTTTCCTTTAGATTTCCCAGCGTTTTTATGCGCTTCTCATCTCTTTAATGTGTGCTGCATGCCCTTCCCATCTCATACCCATCGTTTCGATCACACTCCATGGGTCTTCAGACTGTGTGCCATACCTCTTCAGGGGATTGCTACCTTCTATAAGGGGGGTGAGCAAATCTGAAAAGATTATAGTTGTATCCACGCACGATTTAGGATGGTCGGTAAGATCCATTGTAGGCGCTTTCCGAAAATGTAGCTACAGCCAACGAAACATTTCTAGAATTTTTTCATGAATATACAGGAACGCTTTGTACTAGTGAGAGGTATTGAACTGTTTAGGCTCTTACTGTCATCGTACGTGATGGGAGGCCGGTCTTATATGTTATTTTGGGGACCGGGGGGGGTCATGGTATCAACAATTTTGAAAATTCCTGCCCAATACTAACGTCTTTTGAAGATAAAAAATTATGAGCCTCATTGTAATATATTTTTGTATCATAGGTTTTCTCCTCGTTCCGTCCTCACCATCCCATTTGTCCTCTCCTCTTTCCGTCCTCTCACCTTCCCATTTGTCCTCTCCTCGTTCCGTCTTCTCACCTTCCCATTTGTCCTCTCCTTGTTCCATCCTCTCACCTTCCCATTTGTCCCCTCCTAGTTCCGTCCTCTCACCTTCCCGTTTGTCCTCTCCTCTTTCCGTCCTCTCACCTTCCCATTTGTCCTCTCCTCGTTCCGTCCACTCATCTTCCCATTTGTCCTCTTCTCGTTCCGTCCTCTCACCTTCCCATTTGTCCTCTCCTCGTTCCGTCCTCTCATCTTCCCATTTGGCCTCTCCTCTTTCCGTCTTCTCACCTTCCCATTTGTCCTCTCCTTGTTCCATCCTCTCACCTTCCCATTTGTCCTCTCCTCGTTCCGTCCTCACCTTCCCATTTGTCCTTTAATCTGTGCGTGACAGTTCGTGAGCCCTTGTATGTGATGCTTGTTGCCTACCTGAACCCCGTCAGGCGTTGAACCTTAAGATCACTGTTAATGGAAGGAAGGAGAATGAATCGGTGTTTCATTATTTATGTTTTATGTAGAAGGAAGTCAGTCTTTAAATGGTTCTTTGCAGTTTATTATAACGTTATAAACTTCTGTTACCCAATGTTGCAAGTCTTTCTTAGGTTGGAAGTTTGTATAGTAAGAAGGTAGGCTTTTCTTTTTTAATTCTGCCCGAGGCTTCTTGCTTTTCTTTGCAAAAACTTTACAACTAGCTTCAGATATTTTCATATCTGAGGGCAAAAATGTTGATGTGTGTAATGTCTGTGGAGTAGGATACAGCAGTTTTCTCTTACCACGATTAATTCTCTTTACCATTATCCAGAAATTCTTCGCCAGCCGCGATTTAAAAAGTTGTGGGCATCACTCATCCGTGGTTCTTGATTTGTATCCTGTTTTGTCATCGCTGTATTTGGTCTTACGTATCCGCGTTGTATAATTTAATGGGCAACTTCCGTGCCAAGACATTCACACTTTGAGTCTGCGCTGTCAGCTTGATGACATACGAGTTCCAGATGTTTGGCGTCCATATTACCTGCCGTACGTCTTTATGTCGCGTTGATTATATGTTATAGTTTAGTGTCCTTGTTAACATATTACATTATTTTTTTGTATCTATTGAAGGAACAGACAACTTTGGATTTAATGAGTGTTAGTATTTTCCGCGGTTTCCTAATCCCAAATTTCTCGTAAGACTTTGGTCTTACATAGCGCGATTTTTGCTGAAAGCTATGTTATTGATAAAGGTATCCTTTGCAATTAGCAAGGGAATGCTGTATTAACACAGGCCAAAATCCAGCGCCTGTCCCGTGAACCAAAACATTAATATCTGCTGTTTTTCTTTACACCTGTTAGTTGCAATGTCTGTATGTGCGTGTATTTGCGTGGGTGCGCGCACGCGCTCTGAGTGCCCTGTCTGACGTACGGAGGCATAGCTGTCGCGTAGCTGCATTACCGATATATACGGTTTGATTATAGCAGCAATCTCGTAATGCGTGTGAGCGAAGTTACTGCATATAATCCGTGTTACTGAGTGAAAGCTAAAAGAGAGACAGTGCTACTGTACAGTGTATTTATGGAATATCTTGCATGTGATTCTCAGTTGTAATACTGTATAGGCCTCTCAATGGATCCATTAACGAGACATTTCAGTCTCAAAATTATCATACTGTGGTTTTCAGGGTTTAATGCCGTGCAGTCTGGTAGGTGGTTACGAACATTACGACTAAAATATATTTTACCCTAAAGATGGAGGCAAGGTACTTTAAATACCAGACTACACGTTGTCGATTAAATAGAATTAGTAGTAGCGCTTCTGACTTCGGTTCATGAAGTGCTCAGTTTAATTTCGGGCGAGGCAAGGTTTTTCGTGGTTTTCTTTAGTACGTCCAGGCGAATACCGGTACAGTACTTTGAAATAGACTACGGCTGCTTCCTTCCACGCCCTTTCCAACTCATTGTTCATTAATTATCTTCCCATTCGACGTTATATAGGCTGAGCTACTGAAACCGTCAGTAAAATAAACACTCACCCGTGGAGCTGAGCCCTTCTTGAGAAGCTGCCAATTGTGCAGCTACTCACCTTCCCAGCATTTTATGGAACCTGTGTTCACAAGAGCCCTACACTGGTCCATATCCTCAGCCAGATCAATCCAATCCATACCATCCCACCCTATATCAATCCATTTTAATATTGTCCACCCATCTACGTCTTGGTCTTCGCAGTAAATAAATAAATAAGAAATAGATGGTGTCATAACCAGTATGCGTTCTTCCACGGGCGCGAAAACTACAAATCTCAACTTATCGAGATATGTTGCTGGTTAATGGAAAGGGGTAGCGTCAGACCGCGTAGACGGGGTTGAAATATAGGTTATGTTGTGTGTGAAGCGCAGAACGGAATGCTCGAATGGAAATGTAAGATCAAACCCACGAGCCACGAACGAGTTAAGTTCACTTGTCGGGGTAAGGCTTTTGAGTTGTAATCATAAGATGTCTCTTTCGACTCTCGGACGGGGCAACAGCTACCCTAATTGACATTATTTCCAGTTTTCCTCAGTCCTTTCATGCAGATTCCAAAATAGCATTTCGATTACGTCGTGACCCTTCCAATTCATCATTCATCTATATATCCTACCATGTGACGCTATATACGAGGAAAAGTCAGTAAACATGTCACAAGTGGGTATAGAAGGTAAAACACGTGATATTCAGACCTGAAAAAAAAATTATTTCTCGACATATCCTCCACAAACTTTGATACACTTATCCCATTTCTTTACCAGTTCGTCGAAACCCGCAGTATCGAAGTCTTTTGACTGCTGTCTCGGCCACTTCCGCGCCTCCATTTCAACTTCTTCGTCCTTGAGAGAATTTCTCCACCCAGTTATGAACCGCTTTGCACGACAAACACTTCCCTCCGTAAACAGGAAACATTTCTTTACGAATATCCATTCCATTGGGTCCCCACAAATAAACGCACAACAGAACGCGGCTCTTCTGCAATACACTCCTCAAGCATGGTCGCCATTTTGACTACTGAGACCAGAGTATGAAAATGCGCAAGCTCGCCTGGTACCTAAACTATCATGGAACTGGACTGTGCTGCTACCCAGTGATACGCATAGAAAAACTATTACACCAATTACAGCTGTTTTCTTTCCATTTGTGACCTATTTACTGACACTCGTAGTTTGTCTAGTGACAGCATCGTAAGATAATCGACAGAAAACGTATCTTTTGGTGCTTGAATGAAAACTAATTTTCTTCAAGCCGTCACGATTAGAAGTTTCTATGAATTTAGATTTATCATTTACATTATTTCATTTTAATATTAAATCCCGTTCGCACAGATAAGAATAACCTCTTAGGCTTGATGGAATAGAGTATATTGTGTGAAAACGCTGACATCATTTAATGTGATGTTTTTATAGCGTGTATTTGTTGAAGAGGATAATATTTCAGCATTTCCCCTGGAAGTTGGCCTTACCCATATGTCATGTCTGTTATACTGACGTTCTGCACAATATGAAGCCACCTCAGTGGCGGTTTGTGTTACTCTTAGGCTGAGGAGTAGTGCACCAAGCGTGTCCTTTGCAATATCATTATATGTCGCAAGCAGCATTGATAACAGATTTCTTTGTGTGTTGTAGTTCTCCCTTGCGCATGTGCGTGATGGATTGATTCAATTTTCAATGTTTCCAGTTTCATCCCCCATCCCTTAAAAAGTGTCAGGAATATACACGATTTTAACTGTTCACAGAACATAGTGGAATTTTCCCTAAGCACACTACTGAATCACGGTTAGAAAAGTTATGGGACATGAACGGTACCTAGAAACAGATTTAACTAAACCACCCAAATAATGGCACAGTAAGTACTTGTTTTAATGGCATTGTTTATTAGCTATAGTGTCGAAATGGTTTCTGTTGCATTTTCGTTGTTACTAGCACGATTCATAACATAAATTGGGGAAATGAGAAAGGAATACGAAATTTTTGATCGAAGACCTCGAAAGATACCTCTGAGAAAACATATATTTTTGCACCATAAAGATGCTCATATGTGTCCACCCATGTTAGTTGCGTATTATAAATGAAAGTGGAAATGAAACGTTCAAGAAATATATATGAACTACGCAATAATTTGTTATTAACGTAGTATATTGTCGCGTATTGGGCGTATATCGCGACAAATAACTTCACGCCGTATTTTATATAGCGAATTTTATTTCACATTCGCACCTACAATCACCCAAATTACAGATTTACGATTACTGCTATCTGCAGTATCACAAATAGTACACTCCAAATGCCACAATACAACTGACTGGTTGCTGGCTAACTCGGAACTAACTCGGCGGTAGCTCCAGGACTCACTCGGAGGTAGCTCCAGGACTGACTGACTCTGAATAGCCTTCGCTGCTCCTTATGTAGCCTTGATCGGACAATTGTCGTCTGGTGCCTTGTTGCTAGCCACGCTGTCCGGAGTTGTTGACTGCTGCCTAGCAACCGCGATATCCCTCGGTGACGTCACCGCTACGTTACCGTGCGGAGGAGGGGGAGGGGAGCGCTGACTCACCCGCCGCGTCACTGCTGGGGGGGTAGGGGTCAACCTGTCACAATATTTAAATACGGCTATTTGTAATATATTAGTCAAAATCCAGTGTTTTAAGACTGAAGAAAATTCAGAAGCCCCTAAAATCTATTTGATGTCGATGCAGAATTACTTATCCACTGAAATCACGTTTTTTTTCTTTTATTGCTCTTGTGAGATATTTTACGACGTTGACAGTTGTAACAAAATAGCGTTGAAAAGTAGGACGATAAATCATTTGGAAAAGATTTGGAAGAAAGTGTTTGTGCTCTAATCAAGGTACCGTTAGGACATTTGCCTTAAGGCACAGATAAGAAACTGCGAAGAACTTCATTCAGGATAACGCTGTGTCCTGGCTGAGATTTGAACCGAGTACTTCTCGAATAAGAGTCTAGAACGTTACTGTCACGTCAGGTCGATCGATATGAAAATTTATTTGCACGACAGTACTAATGACGTATGTTAAATCTTTGAATAAACAGAGTCATATTTCAACATTATATTGTGTTTTTTATGTTGGTACCACACAGAGAATTTGTCTCGTTAGTGATGTCTTCTGTTCTGATAGAACACTGATTTAGCAACAGTGGCCGTGAAATAGTGCATGGACATAGGTACTAGGTCTAATATATGTGGAGTTCTTTAATGTTTGTCTTAATGCTCGTAGATGGTTGGTGTTGTGCTAGGTTTATATATCCTACCTTGTGTCCATAGATAGGGAGTAGCTCTATGAATTTGGTCCCAATT